TGGAAGCAAACACCAAGCTACTGACAGTGCTAACCTCTGGAGGATGGCTTTCAGGTTTTATTTTAACCATATATACATTATTCTGATTCATTCATTTATTTACTTACCCAACAATATTTATAGAACACCCAATATGTCCCAGGACTGTCCTGGAATACAGTAGTAATCCCCAAATAGGTTTTTTTTTCAATCTCTGGAGCTTACATTCAAGTGAGGGAAAAACATGCAAATACAAACAAGATAGGTAAACTGTACAGTACGTTAATATGAAAGAGAAAAATATAGCAGGAGACAGGAATGCCCAAGTAGCTACAATTTCAGATAAGCCTCCCTAAGGAAGACATTTTAGTATAGAAACGAGGAGGTTGGGGAGAGCTTGGAGGAAGAATATTAAGGCATGGCAAACAGCAAATGCAAAGGCCCTGAGGTTTGACCTGTTGTGGAAAAGGGGAGGCTGCCTGGAGTACAATAAACACAGGGGGTGATGGGGCAGAGGGTGTGAACTTGTGAAAAGTTCTGTTCTGATTGCTTCTATCTTCTAAGTGAAATAGGAATAAAAATCATCAGCCAAAAGTCAGGAAGGTAGAGAAGGTGGCACTTTGAGGAAGAGGAAGGTGTGAAATGGTCAAAGACAATGTATGAACATAATACTTTTTAAAATTGAGGTGTAATTAACATTCAGTAAATTGCACAAATTTAAACTGCACAGTTTGGTACACCCTGACATGTCAAACCAGAACTCCATCAAGATAGTGAACACATCTGTCACACACATGCGTCCTCTCCGCCCCGTTTCTTCACATGCCTGTGAAATCCCCCCACGTCCCTACCCGCAACGATCTGCTTTCTAGATTGCTGTAGGTTACTCTGTATTTTCTAGAATTCTATATAAATGAAAAGTACACAGTACACTTTTTGCCTGCTTCCACTCAGCATCATCATTTTGAGATTTGCCCAAGCTGTATATACGGATAGTGAATCGCTTTCTGTTGCTGAGCAGTATCTCATTATATGGATAATCATTTATCCATTCATCAGTTGATGGGCACGAGGATTGTTTCCAGCTTTGGGTTAGTACAAATAAAGCTACTATGAACACGCACGTGTTTAAGTCTTCATATGGACTTACACGTTTTCTTTTGGTGAAGACCTAGGAGTGGTAAGTAAACAGATTTTAACCTTTTAAGAACTGCCCAGCTATTTCCCAAAGCAGCTGTACCATTTTACATTCCCTCCAGCGGGGCGAGTTCCTGGTTCCTCCACATCCTCCCCACCACGTGGTATGGTATTTTTAGTGTTAGCCATTCTCATGGGTATGAACGGGCATCTCATTGTGGTTTTAATTTGCATTTTACTTATGGCTAATTCTGTTGAACATCTTCGCACGTAATTTGCCATATATATATATATATATCCATATCCTCTTCAGTGAAGTGTGTTAAATATTTTGCCCATTTTTAAAATGGGCAAATAGGTTTTCTTACTACTGAGTTTAGAGACTTCTTTATTCCGAATGCATTTTATCAGAAATGTTTTGTAAATATTTTCTGCCACTCCATGGCTTGTCTTTTTTGTTTCTCTAAACATTGTATTTCAAAGAGCAGACGGTCTCAATTTTGATAAAGCCCAATTCATCAAATTTTTCTTCTATGGATTGTGCTTTTGGGGTTACAACCCAAGGTTGAATATTTTCCCCTTGGTCTTCTTCTAGAAGTTATATAGTTTGGGGTTTTAACATTTAGGACTGTAATCCATGAGTTATTTTTTACAACTGTTGAGATACGGATCAGGTTTTAATCTTGTATCTGGACGTCCAATTACTCCAGCACTATTTGTTTGACTTCTGCACCTTTGTCAAAAAGCAGCTATCTGTATACGTGTAGGTCTATTTCTGGACTCTCTATTCTGCTCCATCACACCTTTGGATTTGTGCAGCTAGCAGAAGGGATTGCTCCATTTAAGCAAAGAAAGGAGTGAATGAGTGGGGTTCTCGGGTACGAAGCTTCTTGTCCTAAAGAAAAGTTACTGAACAAACATGGAGAAGCAGAAAGACATGGCACTGTTACATATGTAAAGGAAGAAATTTCAAAATGACGATTAGACAACGTAAAGTGGGTTACTGCTGTTGACATACAGACAGTTGTAGTGCCATGTGGGACTGAGCAGAAGTAGACTGCAAGAGGGTGAAAGAGGAACTGTGGTGTGGGTGTGTGGGAGGGGTGCCTGTATACAAAAAACAGGACTTGAGCGCCACCAGGTCATCACAGCCTCGCCCAAGGTGAGTCCTTTCTGTGTTCCTTGTGGCATTTGACTCATACCTACAATGGAAACTTCTGCTCATTTTTTTGTTCTTTTCCATTCTAACTGGGCTCCTTGAAGGCAGACCCCATACCTCATTCTACTACAGTACTAAGTACAGTGCTGGAAACAAGAGACACCAAAAAAAATGAGAGTGGGGCTGGGGAGAATTCACCTCCTCAGACCCTTATTTCACTCGTGATGTTGGCTCTGTTCGCAACAAGAGTGGCTGCAAACTGCACAGTGGGAGGAGGGAATTCATGGCTACTTTCTGAGATTTCACTGTACAATTTCCTTTGCAATAAAGTTCAACTTCACAGATTACACATGCCCTATGGATCAAATAGCATTTCACCTACCACCACTGCATTTGAAATAAATAAAAATGCATAAATGATTTTTTAAAATCATAGAAAAAGTTTTAAACCTAGAAACAAAAATTAGAAACAAAAGGATCTCTTCACAAAGAGCACTTTAAAAACCTCAAGCAACCCTTTCCTTTTTCTCTGATACATATGATCAGTATGTGAAGTGGACTTTTACTCTATCCAAATCTCCACCTAAAGACAACCTGGTGAAACTTTACACTCAGATCTTGCAGTGGAGGCGCAGAGCTGGGTGGCATCCTGCCTGTGGCACAAGAAGAAGGGCTTCGCTCTTCCCAGTGAGGATGGGCTGTAACCACAGTGGAGGGAGAGAGGGGGAAGGTGCGTCTTCTGCAACTATACTTTCAAGTTCCTACTTAGAACGGAGGAGCTATAATCATATGTAACTTGAGTTTTTTCTTCCATAATTATTATACTTTTAACAATCTGGATTATCTGCCTGTGCCAACTAATAATGCACATTTCATAATTCTGAAGCAATCTTGCAACAAAGCAAAAATAAACCAAAAAAACTAGGCTACAACTAACGTTTTTATTCAATTTTTCTCTCAACTCAGAAGGCAACAAACAACCACATAAAAAAGGGAGCACTTTAGAATATATACACATAAAGTTGGTCTGGGTATCTAAGGTATTTAATAGAAAACTAACATCCCAACTAAGTAAATGTTCTATTCATTGAGCTTCTACAACAGTCATTTCTAGGCCTTATGGTCATTACATTTTCATTTAAGGTACTATATTAATTTCATGACTACAAAATGAGGCACTCATACAAAATAGATGGGAATGAAAACAGATGTATCCTGTCTTATCTTTATGTTGTATTAAATGCCAAAGATATTGTTGGGGATTACCTGAAAGAAGCCCTTACTCGTGATGGCTGTTTTATTGATTAAAAAAATGACACAGGGCAGTAATGGACTGAAAGGAAAACATCTGATTGAGGGGCACGCTAATTAAGTAGATACAAGGAAGTTAGAGAATCTCCGCAAGTGAGGCTTCAGTAATACCTTTGTAGTAAGACATTCGTTTTCTTCTTGATGGCAACTGAATAGGTAACATTCTAAAGGAGTATTTTAAACATAATCATTTAATTTTACAATATAAAAAACTTATCACAGTAAGTAGAGAGCTTTAAAATACTCAATCCTGAAAATGAGAGTAAGTAGCTCACTTGCAACGTTTAAAAAAGTGCCAGTGTTCTTATACTGGTGCAACATTCTTCAGAGTGAGTGAGTGGGTGAGTGTATGAGTGTGTGTGTGTCTGTGTGTGTGTGTGTGTTTGCAAATGCAATACAATGTAGCAATGTCCAGTGCTTCACTGTTTTGTTTTAAAAAGTCATCAATTCAACCTAAATTCAAGAATTACACTTTAATAGTAGCATTTTGCCAATACAGAAAGGACATATCATCTAAGATCAAATCATTTGAGAAAAAGTTCTTCTCTATTACTTGAATAAGGGAAAGAAAAAACACAAGACAAGAATCCACAGTAATAACAGTTATATTAAATGTTGAAATAAAAATTACTTTTCATTTACATCTGGAATTGAGATGTCCAATCTCCACTGTTTCTCCAGAGAACAGGAAAAAAAATCACCTAAAAACATGGAGCTTTTTTAAGGCTAGCTATACACAAACTTCACATTGGCATTTTTCTTCAGTGTTCATCTCAACTATTAGTACTTAATAGTTTAAAAATCAAACAGAATTTGCTAATAATGAACAACTGCATACTTCATACTATGACCATTTGATAACTGGTCATGTAAAACTAACCCCAAATGTTGATTTGTCTTCAATTTATAAATAGTAAAAATAAAGCAAAAAGGTCTTCTTTCCTAATTAAATTCCTTGAAGACAGTCTTAGCCCAATGTAAAATGAAGCAAAACTACACTTATTTTTTTTTAATTCTACATGAAGAAGGGCAGCAATACTAGCACTTTCTGAACTAGAAGTTTTAAATATTTATAAGACTATTGGTTAATAATAAAATCTTGATGCTACCCAAGTAAATAGTATGCAAGCAAATGCTTTCCTTATGAAAGTATTCACCTTATTGAAAAAAACAGGACAAAGCACAAC